AGCTTTTAAAAATAATATGAAAGAATATTAATCTATTAATAAAATAATATTTAAAATAATGATATATTAATTTATATATTTACCTTCAAATGCTTTTTTAAGTTAGAACTGCTGGACATTGAGGTTGAAATATTTGTGTTGGGATATAATTTATATTTCCAAAGTGTAGACTTGGTATCATTAATTTTCTTTATTGGTTTAAAATATATTTCAAATTGGGACCAGGGAAGGATTAAATTATCTTCATATGAAGAATAAGTACTATGGACATAATATTCTTAAATAAATTATAAGAATAATAATATCATTATTAACATTTACATTGAATTTTGATTGAATATTAATTTCGACAGAAAATTTAACGAGAATTTAAAATAAAAATGAAGGCAGTGATTGATATGAATATAAACTCGGAATAAATTATTTATATTATTAAATAAAAAATAAATAAAAGTAATTTTATAATGCAATAAAATGTTTTTCTTTTTGTTGATATTTTTTAAGAAAAAATATAAAGTAACGTTTTGCGTTACCGTTACTCAAAAAAAGAAACACGTTACCGTTACCTCTAGAAGAAGGTAACGAATGGCGTTCCTTTTCTTCAAAAAAAGTAATGTCATTAGTAACGACGTTATTTCACAGCACTATTAAAATGGAATATGCAAAGTAAATATATAAAGCGAGAGAAAAAAATTTGATGTATAATCAAAATATTGATATTTTTTATATGCCCCAGATGATTTTTTTTAAATATTATTTCTTGCCTTCCCCCCCCCCCCCCCCACCTTGATTAAAGAAAAATATGTTATTTGCTTTGAGGGGAATATTATTTTATATTTTCAAAGGAAAGGATAATAATTTAGAATATTTATATATTATTCCTTGTCTTCCTCCCCTACCTTGATGAAAGAAAAATATGTTATTTGCTTTATTTTTCAGGGCGGGGGGATATTATTTTATATTTCCAAAGGAAAGGATAATAATTTAGAATTAATATTTTTATAATATGTTATTATCTACTAAACCCCATTTCAGATGTCTTATCAAACTTTTTAACAAATTAGTGTTATCCGAGTCAGCTATAAAATAGATGCTTTAACAATGCACCTTTATGTACTAGGATTCTGTAATGAACTAGATTCTAGCAGTAAATTCCTACTGTTTTCTAAATCAGCTGTAAAATATTATATTTTAATAATATATTTTGATAAATAAAAATATATATCAATATCATCATAATCTGTATAATTTATGAGGTTTTGGTAGGAGCTCAGTTTATATTTGTGGTATTACATTATGAAGATAAAATAAATTGATTTTGTAAATTAACTATAAGTGCTATTTTTTTTTGAGTTAGAAGTTTTTCATATTGGCATCAAAAGATATAAACATGCAAGATATCAGAACTAAGTTTAAATAGTCCTTTAGGGTTCTGGACCTGGATCCGGGTTCAGAAATTTAAAATTGTTTGATTGGGCATTTTGAGATCAGACCAAACAGAGACCGATTTATATGCAACCCATTGAATCCGGGATATTATATACCAGGCAGATTCGGACCTTAAAAGATCGGTTTTCGATAAGTTAATTTTACGTTAGTTTAAAATTCCTGAACCCTAGAGTTATCAAATATTTTTTATTTACACCCCCCCCCCCCCCAGGCTCATATACAATATACTAAGGTAAAATAAGCTCATTTGATACCCATCCATCATCATTTCAATATTTGATGCTGATAAAATTATTTCTGACCCCCATAATAATAACTTCGCCCATTGAGAAGTGGCACTTGGTTTGTATTCAATAGATCTAGTAAGATAACGTCTGATACCTCATATATCTATATATACTTTAATAAGTTAAGAAAAAACAATGTAAAATATATTGGTCTGTGCTCATAGCTGGTTTAGTCGATTTTTAGAACCAAGCCCTGGATCTGGGTTTTACACAAATACCAATAAACAGCACTTAAAGAAGTAATCAAATTTCATAAAATTTAAGTTAACCTATTGAGTACATAGCTAAAGTTCAGAACTCGAGTCGTAATTAATGAGTAGCCTAGACTCGAGTTATTGCAACTTTAACTTGGACAGGAAAACTCGACTATTTAGCAACGCTATCAACCATAAAAATATTAAATAAATGAAACAGATGTGATTAAGCAAAATCATTGTTAAAAAATGATCCAATAAAATTGAAAGAAAATTAACATAATTAAATTGTGTCAGATAATGTAAGCATATTATTGAGTAAAAAAAGAAACCATACTACATTTTATATATAAATATATTGCTGTTATTTTATAATATGCCAGAGGGAGACTTAAAAGCGGGTGGTAAAGGGATCAAATCTGGTTATTGGCAAAAAATATTTTTTTTACCAGTCAAATTTCAATCCTGATTCCGAAAACGATCACATATAATTACAGAGATTATATTAGTGATCTGCATTAGGCCTAATTTTTCAAACCCGGCCCTACCCAAAAATGTTCTTAAAAAAGATTTGCCAGCCCCAGCCCGAATTTATTTAAATATAGAAATTAATTTTAATAATTACCCAATAAAAGACATATGTTATATGGCATCTAGTTTCTATAAATAAAATCAAATATTTTTATTTTACATAAAAAATTGATAAATTTAGATATATTTAAAAAATATTAGGCCTGGGCCTACTTTTGCAGATCTCTAGATTGTATATTAAATAATTTAATTTTCGTATTTATGGTTAATTTATTATATTTCATTAAAAAGCTGCATTTAAACAACTTTTAATATCATATATGGTATAACAATAATTTTATCAGTTGTTCAAGTAGTGCGCTAACTTTTTTGATAGCTAGTTAATAGCGGCTATTTCTTTTGTAATTATTTATTAGCGCCCTACTTTTTTTAAAAAAAATATAATGAAGGTAAGTATAAACATAAAAATTTAAATAAAATATCATAATTTTTATGATTTATTATTTAATTTTGAAATTGAAATATATGTAATTTATATTTTCATTTGTATTATAAACCTAAATCACGTGTTAATAATTTAAAATGTCATCGCCTATGGATATCCAAATCGTTGAAAGTGATTCAGACAAATGATATTAATGAAATGGAAGATACCAGGGAAGAAAATGTTCTTATAGCTGTAATACAAATTTCCCATTCCCTAGATTTAAATTTTTTTAAAAATAAATATATAATCCAAAACTGGTTTCAAATTTATTTGTTTAAAAAAATATTTCCTCAAATCAATCCAGTAGCTATAACCTCAAGAAACACCTAAAGGTAAATTCTTATATTTATTTTATGACTGTTCATGAGTTTTAAGGAAATGGAAAAACATCTAAATAATTTTGGTATAGGCGACTCTACATCCAAAAAGACTAATTTAATTCAATTCAAAACCAAATTAATTAATAATGCAAATGACAATATTTCTCAGAAATGGCTGATAGTTATTGTCGATTTTATAATTTATACAGTTCAGGCAATGTCCTTGGTTGATAATCCATCATTTATCATGATGATTAAAATTCTATCCCCTGGTACAACAATTTTATGACGCCAGACACTAATGAATAAAATAGCAGATAACTTTAAAATCATGAAAGATGCTCTAATAGTAGAGTTATCATATATTCATATATATGTGCCACGGGAGATAGTTGGACACATAACAAAAGGTAAAAACTTATTTATATTTATAAATTGATCTGATTAAATATTTTTGAGCTTATTTGGGAATCACATGCCATTGGCGACCCTAGGACTTTAAAAAGAAGATCTGTGGCATTAGCCCTCAAATACGATGTACTTGCAAATAAAATTATTGATAATCTATCTTATATTAAAAATATGTATATAAGATTGAATACGCCCTTACCTTCAAGTGCTAGTGTCGAGAGATAATTTAGTAAGGCAAAACTTATACTTTCTGATCGTGGCTCTAGACTTGGGAATGATAATATTAAAATGATTTTATTATTAAAATGCAACAAATTACCATAAATATTTATTTTTATTACATAAATTTTTTTATAATCAAAACTAACTATATTTTAATATTTATAAATGTTGATTTTTATATATTTACTATACAATAACATTATAAGCAAAAAATAAAAAATTTGTTTGTAAATTTTTTTTATACTTAAAAATAGTAGCTAATAGCTAGCTACTTTATAGCAATAGCGCACTACTTTTTTTGAAGCTACCTTTAAAAGTAGCGTTTAACAACTCTGGATTTTATATATCCAATAAAAATAATCTAGCGCCATCATGTTATAATCTGCATTAGCTTAATAAATCCCTAAATATATTGTCGGTCATAACCCAAAATTTCAATGGGGCCATAAAGTTAGAGCCAATATAAAGAAGTATAAATTAGATAAAAGAGATAGTACGAATAACATAAAGTAGAGAGAGATATTGAAGGAGCTTACCACCAGAAAAGGTGAAAGCTAAAGAGAAAAAAAAATTCCAAATTACAAGCTATATTAATTTTATGCTTATTAAACCTAAAGTAAAATGTAACTCATACACTTACATTCATGCCAGGTTTCATCACAATATATTTTATTGTTTGTTTATTCTTCATAAAAAAAAATAATTCCACAATAAAAATAAATAAACAAGCACTTAAAATTTGTAATTATTCCTGGGTATCTTCTACTGGTAGTTAAAATTATATCGATAATGAAACATCTATGAAAATATTATTTATAAAAATTTATTCTTACATGATGATTTAGCAATTTCATTAGTCTTGATAGTTTTTTGTTCTAGAAAAAGGCATTTAGAATTTTTTTTAGCTAATATCAGGAATAATATCATTTCAAAATAATCATTAACCAGTAAATAATATTATCTATTGGAGTAAATTTACATTTTAAATATATTTTATTAAAAAATCGAAATATTTAACGATAAGGTAAAGGATTATTGAAACATATAAAATCAATATTTCACTTTATGATATTTTTTCAAATTAAATAAGATTTGAAAGCGTGAAATTGTATTTTATTGTGTCTTAATTTTTCTTCAATAATTTCAAAGGTATAATATTCTATTAGTAAATTCATAAATAATAATGATAATCAAAAAATAAAAATGTGAAATAATACAAATAAAATTTAATTTGTAAATAAATATTGAGTCATATGCCTCCTAAAGAGGCTGAAGGGCTAACACATCATAAAAATTACAACAACAAAATATTGAAAAAACAAATCTAAAAATAATAAACAACAAATGTAAAATTTAAACGCCATATATTCAATTTTTAACTATTCTGTTATATGGTCAATTGGTGAACCTTTCTGATGTCGCTCCCACATTTTTTTAAATAACTTTTCCATATCCAAAGCGTATCTCTGGGAGTCAAATAAAGAACTACTGGTTCTCAACTTCCAAACTTTCGCTCTCATGGCTTTGAGGCTAATAAATAAAAAATCTGTAGTACAATTAATTAAGGGTTAGGTATATACATAAGCTCACTTTACAAGACCTCACAGTATTACAAATACGAATATATAATTATTAATATTTAAAGAAACGAAAAATTCGTTGTAAGGTTTACTCCTCTGTTTAATGTAAAAAATTTAAGGATCATAATCTATACAGTTGCTATAATTAGTGTTGTTAAACTGCTCGTTTTGAGCCGATTTTTAAAAACGGCTAACTCAATATTACACTCAGAAAAATATTACGCAAGCCTCAAGATTTTGCTCATAGAAGAAACAAAGGTCTGTCTATACATGTATTATCAAAATCTCGAGGCTTAGGCAATATTTTTCAGGTTAAAATATTGAGTTAGCCGTTTTTAAAAATAGGCTCAAAACGAGCCGTTTATAATACAACTGTTTTATAAAATAACAAATACTATTCTCGGTCAGATCCTAATTTGATGGCGATATTTTCGTATTCCTCCTTTGAACTAGCCACTAATTCTGGACAACCCAAGGCATATAATTGAGAAGAGGCTACGCGGGAAGCCAATGTTTCACCTTATTTTTTTATAATAGCATTTATTAATATAGATAATCATATATACTATTCATTAGTCTTATAGGATCCCTGATTTCACAAATATAAATGGATTAAAAAACAAGAACAATTAAAATAAATCCGGAGGTGAATCAAATGGCAGGAAGCAGCCAAAAATTTATTCTATAAAAAAACATGCTGATATATATTAATTCTTTTTTATTTTAATTAGCCAAAAAAAATTATTCTACAGAAACCGTAAATTGGATTCTTTATAATTTTGATATCATAATTAGAAATTCTTTGAAGTCAGGTGCATTTAATTTACTAAATACTTTATTTTCATATTTTGTATCAAATGCATTACATGAGATAGCTTCTGCTGCCTTCCCTGATAGTTCAATAATTTTTATCATTATTTCTGGAGAACTTTAAGAAGACCAATATAAATATTGACTGAGCCTGGTATCATTGGTATAGTTATTCTTAAAATGTCTACCTGAGCCGTCAATCATTTCTAGGTTATTACAGTTGAACTTGCACAATCAAGATTACTTCCATAGAATTTGTCTCAAGCATTTTTACTATAAATTGAATTACTTCAAATTTTATTTCTGAATCAATTATTAAAGACAAATTGTTAATATCGAGGTGTATAAAACTACCAGGTTACATGAATTTAAAATAATATTGTGAATAAATTTGATGTTTGTTTTTATTTTATATTTATAATTATTTCCCAGCACAAGTTAACTGTAATTAAAAGTTGATTTTCAATTTATAATAGATATCTTACAAGGTAGTGTGACCATCGGTACCCCAGCCCATAATACATCCATGCCAGTAGTGTGACCATTGCATAGGGGTGAATCAAGACAAACATCTGCAAGTTGACCCCTCCTTACGTGCTCTTCTTTTGGGGCGACATTAGAAAATATGACGCGATTAGGGGGTAATCCCAATTTTTGGGCATAGAGTAATACATTAGGCTCGCCAGAGGCTGGGAATCTTAGAAGCCATAGGAAGCTATTAGGAACATTCCGAACAATCTATAAAAGGTTAGGAGTGCATTAATAAATTTTAATATAGGAAATTGCATTATTAATATAGGAAATTGCATTATTAATAAAAATTGATTATTATATATGAAAGAAGTTTTTTATGTTTAAATGATATCCGACTATTTAAATTTATACTTACATTACACCAGCATCGAAAGATACCAGGGTCTATTTTGTATAATTGGTTGAAATTGCAAAAAATGACCGCGTTTTCTGGTAAACCATATTGTTGGCGAGTAGATAATATTAAATGCTGAGGTATTTCTTCACCACTAGCAACTTTGTTATTAACCTTTAAATTTATAAAACAACGCATTAAAAAAAATATAATTTATAAATATTGGACACATCCAGGGTTTCAAACCGACCAGAGAAGCGGGGTTTTATAAAAATTCTAAAAGCCTGAACCAATCTAATAGATTTTTTAAACAGGGTTCAGTGAATTTTATATTTAAGATCATATATTAAAATATTTGTATAATTGTAAATACAAATATTAATAGTTTATATAAGATTTTTCAATTTTTAAATACAATTGGTAAAGATGATACTTAATAAGATGTGCCCATCTTGTTAATTTAGAGTCAAGTTAAAACCATATCCATGCCCATTTTATCTGATAATAGTTCGGATGAAGTTAATGAACAAGATTATTTAGAGAAATTGATACAACTTATAAAGCAATGGCCAATGATTGCAGAGAAAAGTAAGATTGGATATGAAGGAAAATATTTTGCATTTTTAGGAGACTTATAAGCTGCAGCACCCTGATTTATATATTTGTCCAAAATCTTATTTGCTGCTCCTGCAACCCAAGTTAATTTATCATATTTTCATATAAATATATTCAATATAGATTAGCACTGAAAGATCTTTTTCACATATGAAATTAATTCTTTCACCACAAAAATATAGAGGATGAGTGAACAACTCTTGGAAGATATTATGCTAACGTGTAAATAAAATTTTTAGATACATGACTATGCTTTGTATTTTAAAATATATTTTACCTATAAATAAAATAATTTTATACCAAATTTATGTCTAGTTTATAATTACTTAAATATATATATAAATTATATACAACTGAAATATTCCTAAACCCAGAACCAACCCTGGATTCAAAAATATTCCCAAGAGAACTCGAAGCCACTTAATATTTTTACCGGTTTACAATCCTGGACACATCGTTGTATGTTTATTGGAGTGATACTAACTCAAAGATTTATAATTTTAAAAATACTTGAATTATATATGGCAAATAAATCAATATATGTCAATAATTAAAATTCCATAGTTTTAAAAATAATAAATTAATCGATAAATGGTCATAATTCTAATGAAAATCTGATTTAAATAATTTTTTTTAAATGTTGAATAGAGCACTTCAATTGTAGGCTATATTAAAACGTTTAATTTTTTTTTTAATTTTAAGGTAATCAGTAAATTATTTTACGTTTACTAATATAATATAAGATTTCTTATCCCCTTCAAATAATATATAAACAAACAAAGGTAATATATTAAGGTTGTTTTTATATATTATTTTATGAAAATTTATTTAATACTAAAATATTTCGATGATGTGGATCAAGATATGACATATTTTATAATTATTATTTAAAATAAAATCGGAGTTAACTTACGACTTGATTAGTAGTAACCCCATTATGCATAATAATGCCGTTGAGCGAGGTTTGGCTTTGAGTAGTGCTCAACATGATTTGAGCGGTGGTAGAGGGTATTTCAATTACAGGAATTTCAACGGGGTCTTTTTTAAATGATATTTCTTCAGGAGTTTCTTCCTCAGGAATAGAGTTGCTTTTAATGGCAGCAGTGGGGTACATTAAAAGTTTCTATATTTCGTTTATTTAAATAAAATAATATTGAAATCTTGTTGAACATTAAAATTATATCTAACCATCAAAATCTTCACAACTGAAATCAAACTAAACTCATATATTTCTGGTTAATGATGCTTATTACCAAGTGAATGTATGGAAATATTCTCTAAATACCAACCTAATTTGTTAATACCGACCAAAATTTATTAAAATGTAATATCATTATTATTTAATATATTAATACGGAATCACGTGGTCGAGTCCGGCCTCCTATATATTATCCCCCCAAGGATGGAACCACCAAGTTAGATTAAGAAAAAAAACATGATCATTCCCGGGATTTGAACCCGGGACCATGGGATAAGTAAACCAAGCTCTTGCCTACTAGGCCATAGAGGCTTTCCAAAAATCACGATTTTTCAAATATATATTATAAATATATTTGGTAGTGCCTATCCAAATGAAAAATGAACAAAATTCAAATTTGATAGATGGTACCTTAAGGTACCAAGCATCATTAACCTATATTTCTATCAAATTAAAATATTTAAGTGACCTTGCTAGATAGTTTGGAGATTTCAGAGAGGTCAGTGCCATTGATAACAGCCCAATTATCGGATGCAGTGGATTCTTTGGAGGCAAGAACGACACGCTCCCGCATGTGGGGAAACATGTATCTGTATTGTAAAACAATATTTTATAGACGAAAAAAATGAAGTTATTTTGATATAAATTTTAATATATATTTACAAACTTTATATTTGCCTAATTTAAAAAATGTACCTATGGTCGCCAATAAAAAACGTCTTGGGCATGTATGCAAGTTTTTCTGCATACTGCTCTGCTAGAATCACGGGTGACGTAACAGCATCAGTTATGATATAGTCCATGTAGCTAGCGCCACTTGTGCCTGGATAACCCAGCCACATGACCTAAAATATGGAAAATCTTATAATGTACATGAAGAAAAAGATTCATCACATCCTTTATCATGTTAATTTAAACTTTTAATTAATGAAAAATATTTCTGTAGATATAGAACAAGGTAGTAATATTATTTAGGCGAGGGAATTTGAAATATTTTGTAAGAAAAATGAACATAACAGATATATTATTTTTAAAAAAAATTTATATTTCATAATATTGTATATTTTATAAGTTTAGTTAAAATACCCACAATCAATCAAATAATTTAAAAACATTGTGTGACAGTTAGACAAAATTTTAATGGCCCATAAGCATCTTATTTAAGATGGCAAAAAGATAATTGATACAAGACAAAAGGATCTTGGGTCTATATAAGTATTTGCACTACTGCATTGCCCAACTTTGGGACTAATGTTTTTACCAATGAAAATCCAAAAAAATCTTTAGGATGGATGATAAAACTCATAAAAAGTCTTTTTGAAAATTATTATATTTACACAATCAAAATGATATAAGTCATGATTAGAATTAATAAATTTTTTGAATAATAATCATGATTTAAACTAATTATCTTTTTTACTTGTAATTTAATTAATTAGCAGATTTTATTTTTAACCCTATATTGCATTTTGTAAATCTGAGGCAACGCCCCAAATATTTTCCTATACACATTGCAATAAAAATGATTTGATGTTTTTATTTATTTAATATTGAAAATGGTTAGATGTTTTTTAATAAAAAAATGGTTAGATGTTTTTTAATAAAAAAATGTAATTATAATATCATTTTAACAATAAATTTGTTATTTTCATGCCCAAAATTTTAAGCAATTGATAATTTGATAAGAATTTTAAATTTTGTAAATAAATCTTTTTTGAGAAATTCTTTTGTGAATTTTAATATAAATAAACTATCTTTTAGATTTATATTAAATTTTATAATTCTAGGGAATAAAACATTAAAAAGATTATACATCTAATATAATGATTAAAAAAAAAGGAAATATATAATAAAATATTGGAGAATATGTTTGTGACGGTGTTATAAAAAGTATTGAGGTTAGGAAGGATCATCTTGTGGAATGAGACTGCCTATGAAGCTAATATAATTAGCCTTGTGTATTGCGATGGCGAGCCTTTGCCTTAAGAAGAAGCCCTCGCGGGGTTCACCAGTTAGTTGACGGATGTGGGAGCCGAGTTCCTTGAAAAAGGATAAGGCATATTTCCCAAAAGTAGTAAGGGTAGTGGAAATGATGGGGATGAAAATATATTCTTGAGAGATTTCAGAATAATCTATGCAATTCTATCATCCTTAGAGCTCTTAGATCCGGGCAAATCCCCTTCACTCTTGAACCTTCTGGTCTTTTCAGATCTGATGGGAAACGGCCTGATGGAATTTCGCAAATTCCTTGGAAGCGCGGTCAATTCCTGGTCTGGGACATCAAATCAAACAGTTAATGTACTTGAGAAAAGGGAGACACTCAAAATAGCGAAATATTCTGAAATCTCTCAAGAATATATTTGATGTTTTGAATTATATTTTATATTAAAATCGTCAATCATGATATTATTGAATTTTTATAAAATAGCTATTTTTTTAGTGCTGTAAAAATTTCTAAAAAAATCGAACGCGTTCAAGTTCGTTCAATATGATAAATTTTTTAAATTTAATTTAATATAAATAAATGTCTTATATTTTTTAACACAATATATTAGTCATGTTAAAAAATAATAGTTTTATTTTGCAAATATAATCATAAACACAATATAATACAGTGAATAAAAAGACATTTTTATTTATAAAAATATTTCTTATTAATTTTTATTAACAATTGCTTTAAAAATTTTCATCTGATAGAAACTGCTCTATAGGGGCAGATGAGGGGATTGCGGTATTATACTTAATAGACATTAAAGTGGGGAATTTATTAAAAACATTTATTGTTGTGTCCTTTGCTTCAAAAAATTGAGATAAGTTATCCTCCTCCACATCTTCTACTTCCTTGTCAAAAAAAGGATATCTCGAAATTAACAGTTCTTGCCAGTGGCGTAGCTACGGGGGTGGTTTTCGGGTTTGGACCCCTCCCAGAGCTAAATCTTTTTTTCTAAATTATACGTTCAAAAGACTTAAAAGTGACTTTATATTAAATAAATGCCATTAGTATTTATATTTTCTGGTTTTGATGTTTGTAGAAGGATACTATATTACTATTGAAATTATTCTGGATAGTACTATTATAAAGTCATTGAGAATAATCTACTAAATTATAATAACATATTATTGATGCATTTAAAAAATATATATATTATAGAAGATATGGTTATGATTTGTAAGATTAACCCGGCCGAAGGCCGGTGAAAAGGGCCGAAGGCCCGTTAAAGGGGGCCTGGGGGCGAAGCCCCCAGGCTTTTATATGTATGGACCCCCTCTAAGAAAAATTCCTAGCTACGCCACTGGTTCTTGCATTATCATTTCTAGTTTTCAATGAATTTTTTCAATAAAGCTATAAGTTTCTTTTTTATAGGTTCGTTCTGTGGAAGTTATATCCATGGACATTGAAGCTTGAATACTGGATGTATAATTAGAGAAAGAACTTATCTTCATATATATGTCAAATTTTTTTAAAAAATAAAATATATGTATAATTAATTTGATAGCGATGGGTTAAATACCTTTTATTAAATCCCATTTAATATACTTCGTCTATCAATGGTTGACCATATTTTAGGCCACTAATTTTTTTCAATTTTAAAATAACTATCCTTATTGTCTTCGTCTATCAATAGTTGACCATATTTTAGGCCACTAATTTTTTTCAATTTTAAAATAACTATCCTTATTGTTGGCATCAAATAGCCCAAATGCATTTTTTCCTCAAATATAATGTTTTTGCTTAGTTATATTAATTAATATTAGAATCAAATATCGTTCTAAATTGGAACTTGAAGATTTTGAGACTTATATAAATTTTGGGCACATTTTACATTTGATAAGTATTAAATTAGTTTCTTCAATATAAGATGTTACTGTAAAATATTTATCACATCGGTTAAGTCTAATGCGGGCATTCATTTACTCATCTTTAACCGAAAAAATATTTAATTGAAAGTCACAAATTTAATATAATCTTGTAGCCTTTAAAATTCTCGTAAAGATATTATTTTTAAACAAATTGTTATGTGTACAAGCATTTCCACTAAAATAAGAAATAATAATTTTGAGCTATCCCTAGTCTTAAAAAGTCGAGTTCATGCTACTCCGAATCAGAGGCTGTAATCTTAGTCGACTAACTCAAGTGATGAACTTGATTCGACTAGAGAACGAGCATTTTAACTAGTATACATTATTAACAAACAACATTTGTTCTGTTCTTTTTCAAATGTTAATTCATCTGATTTCGAATTTTCAGAATCAGATGATGATGAAAAAATAACATCCGTGCTTAGACTAATCTATTAAATTAAAATATAAACAATAATATCCAAATTAATAAATAAAAATGGGGTGTTAAAAAAATTGAAATGTGAAAAAGCAAAAACAGTTAATTATAAAATATAAGATTTTTTTCTTATAAAATTTTTCAAATAAATAAAAATAGTGTTTTTAAAATTGAACGAACGTTAAATTCGAAGCGTTCGTCATAAAAAAGAACGCGTTCAAAGTTCGTCAAAGAAACGATGTTCATCATTTTTTTTCAAAAAAAAGAACTTCGTTCACGAATGCGCTCAAGTTTACAACACTAATTTTTTTATATTTATTTAGGGTATTTTGATTCATTATAAATTATTCCAATTCTAAAGGATTTCTCTAAATATTTGAAAATTCATTTTTATAAATTTTTAAATAATAATTTGTTTTTTATTTATAATATTCAAGGTGACATATCTTAACATTGCGCATAATATTTAATGAAAATTATATTAAAATTTATAGTTCAATGACTAGCCAATTAAATTATAGAATATCGGTAGAGAGTGAGGATTCTCAATTGAGTGAATCCTCTGATGAAGAATACCACGTGACACTGACAAATTTAGTATTTCTTATGCTAAAAATTTTAGGGGTAATTGAATCAGATAAATTATTGAAAGTTGAACCGCTCAGTTAATCTACTGATTTGTTGGCGATATCGGATGTTCAACGCTTTAACCATAAAAATCGACAAAATTTCAATCAAATGCCCTGCGATTGTAAAAATTTATAATAAAAATATGAGTGGTGTGGAATTGATTTGCTAATAGTGCTTTATAGAATACAAATAAAATCCCGAAAATAAAATATTATAAAACATTATCCTTGTTATTTAAATTTAGCCCTTTTGCACCTCGTGTTTTATAGTGTATTTCCTTACATGTAGATCTCTAAGGTTTGTTTCCTTGATAGGGGATCATTTGTTCATTCAGACCTTAAATTTTCTTTGAATAAAAATTGTTGCAGACCAATAATATCTAAAAATGGCCTATATCTAAATTGTTGGCCAGATTCAAATAGTATTACTTGAAAATGATTTTTAGACATTTTTTTGCAGATAAAATATGAGCCTCCATCTTGAGTAATGTGTCTAAAGCTGTTATTAAATGAATTTCATGCCAGCTATATAAAAAATTTAAAAAATAATTGAAATATTACCATTATTTACCAATGTTTGAAAAATGGAACATAAAAATAACCTTATATCTTGAAATAAATACCACTTAGGCTAATAATTTAAAGAGATATAATTAGCTTATATATTAGAATATACTTTTTTTAAACTAAAATTTTGTATGACCTTATTTTTTTTTAAAGTTTTTATGCTAGATAAAAATCATAAAATCGGCAAATAATAGCATAAATTTAACCCATTAATGGTCAAGATTTTTCTAGTGGATAAAAATGCTCAATTTTTTCAAATTATATTGATTAATGCTCAAATATGATATTCTAAAAAAATCAGCCAAAAAAAATAATCCTAAATAGAAAATCTAGCCTGGTGCATATATGCACCGTTAACCATTAAGAGGTT